AGAGTCTTCACTCACAATGTGTCTCTGCAAGAAAAACTGCATGCAAATTAACTCATTATAGGAAAACACTCTCAAATTCCACCGGGGCCAGTTCACGTTGACACATCGCATCATTCTCTCTTGGCATTTGCAGTCTCTTTTCCACATTCACCCTCTTTTACAAGCCTCTTTTCCATCTGCCAAAGAAGCTGGATCCAGCGCTTCTTGTCTGGGCTTTTCTCGTCTCCCGGGTTCTTTCTATCACCACAGACCCGACTCCAGGCTTTGGTGAACTCTGCCCACAGTATGTATGTTTGGACATCAAGCCTCTGATAGATCTCAGGTCCCTGGTTACAGTTGTTGCATGATGGACAAGACCTCATAAGAATCACAATTTATTAGAGCACTATCTAGTTTCTCATTCTGGTACCACCTCCCCAGAGACCCTTTCTCTTTAGTGTATCAATAACTTCAGCCTTTATTATCTGAACCTTGTTTCTCTCTCAGAACTTCTTTGATCAACTATTGCACAAGTATGCCAATACAGAAATGATTCTGAGGAAGTACCAGAGAATTTCTAGAAGATAACATACATAATAGTAGGGGATGCGTGCACATGTGTGTGCGCGCGCGCACACACGCACGCACGCACGCACGCACACACACACACACACACTATGGAATGTAATTCTGCAAATAATCAACAGATTTCAAATTTAAAATAGAGGAGATACAAAAGTTGACCTACCATTGAATAGCCAAATCAATGCATATTGGAACTAGGAGAAATGGTATACATTCCTGCAAGGAGCTATGCTAAAGGAGATTCCTAGTAAAATATGCTTGGGCTGCATCAGTGGCACCCAAAGCCAAATGTTTATAGCTACAATTTTTATCAACTCCAGTTCTCTAGAACCAAGGTAGGAAAGCTACACAGCTATTTTTTATCTCTGGTCCTGGGGCTTTGAACTCTGGGCTTGGGCTCCGTTCCTGAGCTCCTTTTGCTCAAGGCAAGTGCTCTGCCACTTAAGACACAGCACCATTTCTGGATTTTTTTTCCTATGATTAACCAGAGATAAGAGTCTTATGAACTTTCCTGCACCAGCTGGCTTCAAACCAAGATCCTCAGATGTCAGCCTCCTGAGTAGCTAAGATTACAGGGGTGAGCCACCAGTGCTTGGCCCTACAGTCACATTTTGAAAACCAGAACCAAGACAGGAAAGTTACACAGACATATTTTTAATCTATCGGGCTGTTGTGAGGGTGTAGAAATACAGCAAAAGAAGGAAAAAAAAACATCCAAGCTGCTGCTCTGCTTGGAATAGCTCCACATCACACTCCCCAAATATTATTGCATAAACTTAATTTATTTTTACTTTCTAACATATGTTAATTAACAAGTTTTCAATTGTCAGTGTAAAACAGTAACATTTCCCACAGTGTATAGTACATATGTATTTTCCTGATTATATGAAAAAAGACAATATTTATAGATTAAATTTATTCAATTTATGAAAAAGAACAATATTTATGGATTAAATTTATTAAATTTATCAACCACATCAATTTGTTGTGTTCTTTCCCTTTTTTCCCATTATTTATTCTAACAGGAAATACATTCATATTTAACTATATAATTTCGCAACAGTGATTTGCACATATATAAATTCCTTGAAACAGTGCTTGTCACATGTAAATAATTAATATATGTTAGCTATAAGCATTATCACTAGTGTCATTGTCAATTTTTTTGAATAGCAATGTCTCTGTTACAACAAATTCTAATTATAACACAGTCTATAACTGCCAAGAAATTCCTACAACTGTACCATATGGATTGACACAGTGCTCAGTCATCTAGAGTGAGATATAGCCACTTTGGCTTATATGCCTTTTATAGGCATCTGCGTTATTTGAATATAGTTTGTCCCCACCAACACTCATGACGAAGTTTGGTTCCCAATTTGGCAGAATGGGGAGGCAGCCTGGTGGGAAGTGTTCAGGTCACAGGCCCTCAGCAACAAACTAATGTTTATCTTGTGAGAACAGGTTGGTATGGTGCGAGTTTGGCTACTTTCCTCTCTTCCAGTTGTATCCACTTCCTTTTTACTTTCTGCCATGAGTTGAAGGAGCACCAGGTACTCACCTGACCCCCTGATACAAGAAGAGACCATCTTCTTAGACTTCCTACCCTCTAATGCCACAAACCATAACAAAACACTCATCTTTTTAAGCTGAGAAGGGGTAGGTACTAGGTTTGAACTCAGAGCCTTCTTGAGCCACATCCCAGTCCTGAATCTATTTTTTAATGCTTCAGGGAGTTTCATATGTTCCATTACAGAAACAGAATATAAACTAACACACAGCCACATTTTATTTTGTACTTCAAGATTTTGTGTAGTCTGTAGTAAAAAAAAAGTTAGTATTAGTTTTAAGTGAATGAATATATAACAGCTTTCAAAAAATCTTTGACAAGATACCCAAAAAAATCATTTAAAACACATACAAATAAGACCTATACTTAGGTCTTTCCCTTCCCATCCAACTCATTTTCCATGCATCTGTAGGTTGTTCTTCCTAAAATGTTGTCATTCCTCAGATTAAAACTCATAATTACCCAAAGGACATAATAGGAACTTTCTATTTACCTGAAATCCATACATACTTGCAGATTAGATCCATATTGCTCCTTTCAACCATACCAAATATAATGCTAGAGACTGAATAGTGTTTCTCCAAATGTACATGTTGAAGTCCTAACCTCCAATGTATTTGGAGACAGACCTTTAAGGTTGAATGAGGTTACAAGGATGGGGCTCGAATCCAATACGCTCAGAGTCCTGTTAAACAGAGAAAGCAGTAGAAAGAGGAAGAAACAGCAGGAGCATGTGGCTGTTCAGAGGACAAAGTGAAAGGCTGACCATCTGCAAGGCAAGGGGCAAGGCTTCATTAGAAACTAACCCTACCAACACCACATGTGATCTTGGACTTCTAGCCTCTAGAACAGTGAAAAAAATTATGTTATTTAAGTCACTGTGTGGTATTTTCCTATAGTATCCTGAGCAGACTAAAACACATACCATCACTACTCTCTTGTCCCAACTCTGAACTAATACCACTGACGACATCACAAATGATGCTTCACAGAACCTTTTCATTTTCTCTGGAACAGAAATGAGTGATGTTATCCTTGATTCCCACCTCATTTGTTAAGGCCTGCTAACAACAGCCTGATTCTATCAGGTGACACCATAGACTCTCTCAGAGTAAGCACATCTCTCAACCTTTAAATACTCCATATACCTAAATATGACTATCTGTGCAATAAGCCTTATAATATATGCAGAGAAAGTTAATTGCAGACCAACTAAAGAGTCATGACATAATTCTTGGTTTCCGTTTCTAAGAATGACAGACCCACACCTACTTATCATTTGCCCAGTACTACACCAGGAAGATGCAATCTACACCAAAATCTCCACATCTGCACAGAATACTGAACAAGCAATTACACTGATATCAGTGAGAACATTGAGATGAGCAGCAGGAAAGTGCATGCAAAAAGTGACAGCTATCTTAAATAGCTTACGGGAGTGAGAGTAGCAAGCCAGGAAACCATCCCTTCAACTGGCACCCTGGTTTGGCGCCATTGTGAGAGGCAGCGGTCAGAAATGAACCATGACTCAATATATCAACAAACACTGACTACGGAGAGAAATTTTACATATTGGATATAAAATGGAAAATATAATGTTACCATGTAGAAAATTCAACCATATCTCAGCTATCATTCTCAGTAACCCTTAGAAAACAAAATGGAGAATAGCTTAAAGTGACTCATAGAATAGAGAGATTTCTGTGAAAATGTAAATTTTAAAATTAGAATTATTCTGTATAGAAAAATATTATCTTCAGGCTGGGAAGGTGGCTTAGTGGTAGAGTGCTTGCCTTGCATGCATGAGACCCTGGGTTGGATTCCTCAACACCACATAAGCAGAAAAAGCCGGAAGTGGCACTGTGGCTCAAGTGGTTGAACGCTAGCCTTGAACTGAAGAGTTGAGGGACAGCGCCCAGGCCCAGATTTCAGGCCCCACTGCTGCCACCTCCTCCAGCCACGGTGGTGCTGCCTGTGTGCTCCTTCGGTGTGGACCGGGGACCTCTTTTGTGAAGTGGCATCTGAGGAGACTCCGGTGGTCACGATGGCCAACGAAAACCAGCACAACTATGTTTATTGCAGCATTATTTACCATAGCTAAGATATGGAACCAACTCAGATGCCCCTCAGTAGATGAATGGATCAAGAAAATGTGGTATATATACACAATGGAATTCTATGCCTCAATCAGAAAGAATGACATTG